ACTTGACTAGGTGATGGCAGCGCTTCAAAGTCATAACTTGAGCCTGTTCAAATTCCTTTTGGCGTCCTTTCCTTCTTTTTTTTTTCTGCTTTGGCGCTGTCACTGCCAATGCCATATCAGCCAACTTCCTGTGTCCCTGTGCCATGGCTTCCAATGCCAGCAGCCGCATTGTCAACACTTCATTTCAGTTTGTAGGTGTGTGTGTGTGTGTGTGTGTGCGGTGGTAAGCGTTTTTCATTTGCAATCAGGCGCTGTGTGTATTATGTACATCCTGACGGGACGACTGCCAAAGGATGTGCCCCATGCACGAAGGTCGTCCTTTTAGTTGCTGCTAAAAATAACATTGCCCCGAAGCGCCTGTGGCCCTGGCAATGGGCCATGCAAAGGACATTCGAGCAGCATTTATATTTAGTGGATTGAAGGGGGGGTAACAAAATTAAAGGATAACACTAGGTGGGCGGCATAAATATACCTATTATTCCCGATTACTATATGTAAATGGATATAATCTCTATTTAATCAAAATCACATATTCCATGCATTTTGTTTTAAGCGTTGTCTATTTGTTTTACAATATGTGAGCTTTGCAGGCTTCGACTAGGGTTTAGGCCAGCGGGTTTAAGGTTAATTTTTGGGTTTATTTTACCAATAAGAAACAAAGCAGAAGAACAGGTTGTCTGAGACATATCCTGACTAAATTAACAGACTTTGCTATCGACTTAAGGTTTGCCTTGTCTTGTTTGATGCTTAAACTGGTTGCGAATTACAACCTTTAGCGAGATAAGAGCTCAGCTTTACTGTCTACTTAGCTTGATTTATACCTTTAGTTCTTTAGAAACGCTTAGTTTCTTTTCTCTTCCTTTAAATATTCACATAGCCTTATAAAAAATATACAAAATAACCTGAATCATAAAGGAACAAATTTATGAGAGACCAAGTAATTGACAACAAGGAATCCCTTTGACCCTATTTGTTATTCAAAATATTTCGTTATTTGACTTTAAAGCTAGTTGCCCATAAATAGAAATAAAATGTAAATTTCGTTGATTTCCGTTTTCAGTTCTGGAGCTTCCTTTATAATCCACATATAAAGAAATGGGTCAAAATGATGCCAAATATAGGGGATATCTGATGCTCAAAACCAACTCAAATACATATACATTTATGAATGTCAAATGGGAGTCAAATGAACAAAACAAAATGCCCCGCAGGCTAATCAAAATTAAGATAATGCCGCATATTTTCAAGCTGCAAGTTCATTGGGGACGCAACAACTGCCAAGATACGCGACGCAGGACCTTCAGGGTCAAATGAATTTGCTGCCACAACAGCAACAAAAACAATTGTGACAAATAAAAACAAATAAAAATACAAATATCGTGTTGTTGTTTTTTTTTTTTTTTTTTTTTGTTTGGGCCTTATAGTATAGTTTATGAGTTTACCGACAGCGCACAGGATAACGACTGGCTGAAAAAAAATGTGTGCGAGGGCAGCCAGCCAAAATGCAGGAGAAAGAATGGCGTCCTTCCGTTCCAGTTGTTGTTCTTGTTGTTGCTGTTGTTGTTGTTGTTGTTATTATTGTGCCATTGACAAGCCAAAAGCGATGGCAAACAAAGGCAACACCGAATAACAACAGATAGACAGCAACAGACCACAGACAACAGCAACAGCAGCAACAGCAGCAACAGCAGCAGCAACAACAACAACAACAACAACAACAAGGACACTAGCAGAAGGGATGACCGCGGGCTCAAAATTCCAAGGCAAATGAAAAATAAATACCAGAAAGATACAAAACAACGAGGCAAGACACCAAATGGCAGCAATGCAATTGAAAATGTTGCGGCAGAAGCAACAACAACAACAACAACAACTAACAAAAGCACAAATAGCAAAAACAACAACAAAAACTAAACAAAACAAAAAATCCAACAAAAATGCCATAAACAACAAACCACAAATATATAAAAAAAAACAACAAAAAGTAGCTTACATAATCACAGAAAAAGCAAGAGGCAAGATGATTGGCTGCAGCAGTGTGAGCGAGAGAGAGCAGCAGTACGAGAGAGCGCCACAGCACGTGTTTGTCTCACAGCCTGTGTGTGTGTGTGTGTGTGTGTGTGTGTGCATGTGCATGTGCGAGGCTGTGTGTGTATGTGTGAGCAGCCTGCGCCTTGAAGCTGAACTTGGGCTATTCAATGTTTTTACTTGAACTTGAATATAAGCGAGAGCTCGCTTCCTCTCTCTCTCTCTCTCGGTCGCTCGCTCTATCTCTTTCTCTCTCTCTCTCACTGTCACACACGCTTGCTCTCTCTGCTTGTTTTGCCATGCACACATACGCCGCGCACGTGCTGAAAGCTTTTGCGCACCCACACCCACACACACACACACACGCATATTCACACGCTCTCTTTTGACTCTCTTAACTCTGCTGCTGCTGCCGCTGCGGGCAGCCAGTTTTTTGATGGGTATCATCAAAATGCGAGTGACGCAAGTGATAAAAAATTAATGCAAGAGAGAGCGCAACATCAGCAACAACAACAACAAAAACAACGACTAACTATTTAGCATCTCAATGATAATCTTTGAGCAATAACTTAAATGGTTTTTATGTGGCTAACAGGTTGAGCCCGCGCCCCAAAAAGGCGGCAACACAAAAATAACAACAGCAAAAACTAACTGTACAAAAATGGCGTGCCAAACGTGGATCAAGTGTTTAACAGATACCCTGTAGCAACTATTAATAAATATATATTAATTAATATATTTAAGTAAATTATAAAAATAAAGCTGCTACTTAAATTGTATTTAATATTATATTTCCGATATATAGATAGATATCGAAAGGGATTATAAGTTTAATATTCACAAGATGTAAATAGAAAGAACGTTAGTTTTATATATATACCACATAGATCGATTGATTGTTATAGATTGGTAGAAGTTTAAATAAGAAGATAGATAAAAGCATTTCCTGATTTAGTTGCCAAATTGATCTAGATGCCATCTAGGATAATAGAGGGTATACTCGGCCACGCCACGGGCACAACAGTAAAAAAAAGAACAGGCCAATAGGCGCTTAATGCTAAACAATAAAAAGTACTTGACCTTCTGCTGTATCTACGCCCCTTAAATATGCATAGCCTTAGCCTAGTTTTGACCAAGTGAAAAACAAAAACTTGATTCGAAATTTTAAGTAGTTCTTATGCGGCCATTCGCAATATTCATGAGCCCCAGTCCAAAAGGTGGCCAATAAAAAGAACTGAAGGCTGGGTAAATTGACTAAATTGAATTTTAATAATTAAATGCAGGCACAGTGCCTCCCAAAAAGCAACAGAAGCGGCAACAGCAGCAGCCGAAAAACTGCCCAAAAAAAAAAAAACAGAAAGCCGCCCACGTGTAAATTTGCATGCGAAATTCGGTTAGGAAAACAGCTTGAGGAGCTCACTTGAAACATGTCGTTGCATAAATAAAACCGTTTTAAAGCACAATGCTGACAATGAATATAATGACGATGACAATGACGACGATGAAGGGGATGAAGGGGATGATGAGGATGATGATTATGCTGCTGCTGCTGCTGCTGCTGCAGATGATGATAATTATGTTGAGGGAAAATGCGAACAGCAGGACGTCGTCGACTTTGATTAACTACAAGAACTTGAGCAACATTTGCATAAGTCCCGAGTCCTACACAATTGACAATAGAAAAGCCCATTGAAATGGAAAAACAAACGACTTAAAGCTTCAAGTTAGAGTTAATGCCACATCAAAGCTGGCAGTAAGTGGATTATGCACAAAAATCCACATGGATTATTAAAATACATGTATTTCAATCAGCAAACTCGTTTGTGAGAATCGCATAGAGAGGCACGTATCTTTATATGAAGATATGTTAAACTAATCAAAAGGGGAGTCATTTGATGTTATGCTATATTTATAAGAAAGTCCGTAAAATAATTAAAACCAGAAATCAAAAGCACGAAAATTAAAGGTCAAAACTTGAAGTAATAAATAAAACAAATGGCAAACATTTGAAAACTGTTTCAACTTGAATGCGAATTTGCCGAAATGCGCATTAACACAAATTTATATAAGTGCTAAATCGTTTAATTCAGTTGCCTTCTTATAATGGCCAAAAGGAATTGGTGCTTAACCGTGAAACCCAGTCTATAAATTAAGTGTTCAGTTGCATGAACAGTTTGCCAAAAAGGCTAAAATAAAAAAAAAAAAATAAAAACGCCATAAACAAATTAGCCAACCTTGAAATCTGGTCTGGGCACACTTCCTTTTGCATAGCCAGCGAACCAAACGCTGCCCCCAAAGCCCCCTAATCCCCCAGACTCGCCCCCGCCAACTAAAAATGCGAGACGTTGTAAGTAATTCATTTTTATGAGCTGCTCTGCTTGCCACAGCTGCGGGGGCACGTGTACGTTGCGATGCTCGGACATTTGGCTTTGGCTTTGGCTTGGTTTTGGCTTTGGTTTTGGCAGAGCTAACGCAAACAAATGTTTATCATTTATAGTTGTGCAATGCAAATGGCTGAAAGCCACAAAGCCGAAGCCGGGCGAAATGCTGCAAGAGAATCCTGCGGTGGAATTCAAACGAGCGACGCTTTGAATGCTGAGTCAAGCGAAGGACTCTACCTGCCACAAGAAAAACAAAAAAAGAAGAGTGAATAGAAAAGTTGTGCCTCAAGTGGCTGGCAAAAACAATAAACAAATGCGACAACTGGCACAGCCGAAAGATACATCCTATACATGCTACAGCGTGTGTGTGTGTGTGTGTGTGTGTGGCGCGCAGATACTTTTTGCGATATTTATAAATCATCAGCCAGTGCAGGCAATTGTCAGTTTGTCAAGGCCAAGCACATAATTAGCTCGTAAATGGCAGCTTGAAACTGAAATTGAAATTCTTGTATACACTGAGAAAAAAAACGACAAGGCAGCCATAAATCAAACTAACTGCGAGATACATGCAGCCTGGCGGGGCAAGCAGAATGTGTCTGTGGACAAAGGACACAAAAAATTGTTGCACAAAAATGCGCTGTAATTGCCGAAATCAAATGGCCGTAATTTAGGTTGACAGGCAACGACAACAGCAGGCACAACACGAGAGAGACAGAGAGAGTGAGAGAGAGAAGATAAAAAATAAAGGACACTACAATTTTATTTATGCAAATCGCAAATCGCATGTGGCATGTGGATTGTGGCATGTGGGATCTATACGGCTCGATGTGGCCACACAGGAACTGGCGTCGACTGATGCCCATATTAGAATTATGCAAATGATGCGACACAAAGCGAGAGCGAAGGAGAGAAAGATAGAATGAGAGAGCGGACCAAATTGAAAGTTAGGAGCAGGCAGCTGTATCTATGTGCAACGCATCCTGTGCACGTTTTGCTGTTATCCTTGAGCCAGCGCCAGGATCGCTGTTGCGAATTAACAAGCAGCCAAGCAGCCAGCCTTTTAAATATGGCCATAATTTTAGTTGCTGGCTCATAAAGTGGAATGGCTTTGATTAAAGAACAGTTAGCCAAAAATTCTGTTCAAGGCATGCCACAGACTTGGCCCAACTATGTGTGTGCGTGCGCGTGTGTGGCAAGGTGAAGGGCATATACAGGCATACAACAAAAAGACGCCAGCCACATGTCCTTGCCTGTTGGCCACAAATGGGAATGCGTCTTTATGTACCTCCATATATAAGCCCATATAAATATCTGTGCAGAGCCCAAAATACGAGGGCTGCTCATCAATTAAAAATTAAGCTCTCATAGACAACATTATTCTTTGGCTTAATTAAATGGAATAGAATGAAATGCATGGAAGGAAATTTAAATAAAACATTTGAGTTTTCGGTTTTTCACACACATAAAAAAACAAACAGTTAACCAAATACTTCAGTAACTAAAAAATCAATATGAGCTTTAGTTACAGTTTAAAAATATGCGAAAAATTGATCTCATATTAAAACGTGCGAAACGGCAGATTTAAAGTTTAGGTTCTGGCTACAAATTGATCTTAAAGGAATAGCAAAAAGGAAGATTTATGAAGTCATCCAAGCTAGATATAGAAACATGGCCAAACTCCATTAAGCAACCCTCGCATATGCGCCTAAGAATTGGCGCTAAATCAAGGAGCAGAAATCACTTAGGACCATGACGCGGCCTGATAAGTTGGCGGTTTTTAAAATTAATGGAGACGTTGGCATTGTTAAAAATCTCTGCCAGCTAAGCTGAGTGTTTTATGGTGCCGCTTTGTGGTGGTGGGCGTGGCACACATTTGGCCATTAAAGTTGAGCTCTGCTTAGCTTGCAATTCTTCTGCACAATGATTTGCAATGATGTGTGGCGTTACATTATAAATGATCCAAATGACATATATATGATATATATGACACATACCCAGTGCTTGATTATGCGCACAGATTTGACATTAAATTGATTTAACGCATCTTGGCTTGATAATTTGAAAGACAACTTGAATGTTGTGCACAAACGAAAGCTTTGGCGAAAGCTTTCAAGTGCTTTCAGTGTGCACCCTGTGGCTAAAGCTATATTTTTATGCAGTGAAAAGCTGTCACTGCTGTTAGCTAACAGCGCGTTAACAGCTGCTGTTAGGCATTCAAATAACAGAAACGTTAAACTTACCCACACAGCGATAAACATATTTTTATGCACGTGCAAACCCATGAGAAAACTCACCTGCAATGAGCAAGAAAATAAAATAAAATTAGTTGTTTAATTATTAAAAAGTTTGTCTGACACATATGTAGGTAAATCAATAAATTAACTGCACGTCAAGCTGCATTAAATGTAGACATTCACAGGTATTTAAATTGAATTAAACTTTAAAGAAAATGTGCAATTAAGCTGTTGCTTCCGCAGGTGATAATTGAAATGATATTCGATTTTAATGTGTGAAGCAGCTATTAAGATACCCAAGCATTCCTTAATTATGCTATTTCGATTCCCAAACAAATCTGACGACAAATCAGTTGAATGCCAGTTATTCGAGTGCCGCAATAATGGCGCAATATTTATAAGTATCTCTCTATGAGAGAGAGAGAGAATTATAGTGAAGAAAATTGGTATAAGCAACATTTTATATATATTGATATTAAACAACATAATAAAATAAATTTAAAAAAACAATATATATATTTTTGATCTGAAATCAAATCATGTTCAAAACTGTCAACGCTTATGTTATTTCTTTTCTTCCTTAATTTAATTTTTGACAACAATGTAATCCGAGACGTCAAGTTAAGTTTTCTTCTTCCGTTTTTAACTTCAAATGTTCAAGCTAACATTATATATGTAATTTTTAAACACATTCTTATGTATCCCATTTTATTTTGAAAACTTACTTTCTTTTATTGTTTTACTTTGCTAAATTAATTTGTTAATTTACTTTTAGTGTTTATTTGAGCCGCTTTTATTACCACAATGAAATATTGATATTAGCCTAGAAAGCGTTATGACCTTTTTAATTGCAACTTTAATCCCCAACGGGGACGGGGCAATAAAAACTGCAGTCACGGCTCATAAAAATCAACTATTCATAGGTCATGAGCCACCTGAAGTAGCTATCGATTCATATGCTTCAAATGACATATATACATTCCCATACATATATACATATATTGGTCATGAGATGACCTTCAGAGCGGCTTTAAAGTGTTTGCACTAGACGACTTAACCTTCGAGCTGATCAACATTACGCAATATATATATATACATATACATATATATACGTGTATATATAGAAACTGTATACATATGGACATATCTCTTTTTGCAACAGGCCATCAATAGCACTTGGTCTTTTATTTTTATTACGCTTCAAGTAGCCTTCGCCCAGTTGTTGATTTTATTTGTTGACAAGTGGGCGTGGCTGGCTGAAAGATAAATGTACACGGAGACATCCTTGTGTGCGAGTGCGAGTGCGTGCTGTGTGTGTGTGTGTGTGTGTGTGCGCGCGCCTCGAGCTGTTGACGACTGAGGCGTTTCGCCCAGGCCAAAATAAATCAAAACTAATTTCATTTGCTGACACACATGGCGTATGCGTGATATTTATTATATGCATATATCTGCTCACAAATGGACCCGTCTCCATTTCCATCACAGTCCTAATTGCCGCCAGTTGTGCCACAGTCGAAACAGCATAAAGTAGACAAACTCGAAGCCGCTAATAAACGAGCAGCCAATGCAAACGCTGAGCACGCCGCCAACGTTGGCTGTCAGAAGGAAGGCAAAACGCAATCATAAATTCAAGAATTCAATTAAGATGCAAATTCCATTTGCCGCTCATCATCAACTCACACAACAGCTCATACCAATTGTAGAGCCCATCCTGGCGATAGAGCGGCACACGCTGTCCACCATAGCGTATGCTCACTTTACTCTCCAGGGGCGACATGTAGCCCGACAAACTCTTGCTCAGCTCATAGCGCCAGTCATTGCAGGCAGGCAGGCACTCCTCACAGCTCCATGGTGACCAGCTCGCTGTTGGGAAGCAACACCAATGCGAACTCAAATCTTTAAGTGCTTTAAGTCCCAAATATATTCCTCGCTTTGTTAATTGCTCCAAAAGTTAAGGCAACTGATAGAAATTCAAGTCTATCTCTACTGTTTCTCAGCTCTAAAGCTCTAAATTAAATAAATTGAAACTTTCTAACTTTCATTTACATAGATACAGATATTGGCACAGTCTCTTGGCTTGGTACATGTTAAATATTGAAAGGTACATGCTAATTTGAAATTCTGAATATTATCTTCGAGTTCATAAAACGTATTCCAAATAATTAAGATTTGGATGTTGTTGCATGTCAAAGTACACGATATTCCCGTTGGTACATGGCAATTAATTTGGTACATGCTAAAACATAAATGTCCTTTGACAATCAGTTGAGAACATGTCTATAAGTTCTGGCAGTGAGAGTGTTATTTTTGTTAGGAACGCTTCCCCACTTACCCTCTAGACTCTGCAGGCAAGCTGTGTGCGCCAAATTACAGTAGCTCACATTGAGCTCTGCAAGCGCCGGCGAGGATAAGTCGTAGGCAAATGGCGCACAGTTGCAGGCAGCTATGGCGCTGCGTAGGCGACAAAGCGGCAGACACTGAACCAAATGCTCGGCCTCCTCGGCAAAGTGGCAGCCACGTTCGGCCAAAGGAAAACCGCGTAGCCGCGGATCAGCTTGCAAACGAATCGCGCCCAGCTGCAGGGCTGACGACTCGCCAGGCTGAAGGCTAAGTCGGCCCAACCAGCCAGGCAGATGCAGGCTAAACCCCGCATTGAGTCGAGTTCTCGGCATACGAAAGTCATCCGCACGGGAGGCATTCAGCCGAAGCGTGAGTGTTGCGCCCGTTATTCTGCCCGGCTGCTGCAGGACACAACAGCAGCCCTCAAAGGTGGGCATCAGACGAAATAGCTGGGTGCAATTGAGAGCAACTGCATCCAGGTGGCAGCTAAGCAGCAGCGATTCGCAGCTGGGTGACAAATGCAACAGCTGCTGTCGCACATGCCACACCACCTCCTGAGCATCAACCAAGGCAGCCTGTAGTCTAGCGGCACTCGCAGCCTCCACGGCGCTGGGAAAGAAGTAGCCGGAGAGCAGAGGCAGCCGCTGGAGCCAGTAGTCCGTGGCATTGCCGCTGGAGCTGGCCAGCTGCTGGGCCAACTCGTGCAGTCGCTGGCGACTCAGTTTATTTGCGCTGCAAAGGGTCAGCGCAGGAAACGGCATATCCTCTGCAGCTGAGCTCTGGTCGGATAAAGAGGTAACCGTGGACCGAGCCAGAAACTGCAGCAACGTTGAAAAGACCACAAAACTGGCCGAGAGCATGCCCACGGCAATAAACAGAAACCAGAAGAAGCGCTGATAGCGACGTCTTCTGATAAAGTACAACAAACCGAAGCCATTGAGGCTCGTCTTCTTGAAGTACTCGACAAGTGTGACACGCAAAGCTCTGCCCAGGCGAGACATCTTTTCATTTGCGGGCACTCCAGCCCCAGAGTATGCCTATCGCGCTCCACAAGCGACCAGGTGCGATATCTAAATAGAACTAAAACCATGAAGCGGCAGGTAAATTCGTGCAGCGAGTGTCACACGATATCAAAAGGCTGTCGAGTTTATCAGATGAACAGAACACAGACACACGACAGCCCACAATACAATAAAAAGGAACCATAATTAACCTCAGGATAAACACGTAAATTATCGTAATTATCGCGTGACACGACAAGTGAGAATAATACAATTATTTTGCCGTGTCAGAGCACAGGAGAACAACGTAAATCACTTTTAAATTACAATAGAAAAAAAACTAACATTCTATAATTTAAAATTTTGGTACGAATCGAAAAAATAAACAATTCTGTCAACACTTTTGCAAGGCCGAATGATCGCCCTTTTCATAACCTGAACCCATTGCAAATGGGCAAAAAGGATAGATGGGTTCTCACAGTTTCTAGCATACGATTTATTTAAGAGTCAATCAATGGCGTCTTGGAACATAAATTCTGAAGACACACGACTGTTTATTTGAGTCTACTGCCTTGCATTGGGAGGCGGCCTATCTCGCAGCTCTTCGGATCTGCCACAACCGACACAAAACTACCCGAAGGGCCGCAATCAAACACCGGGACGGAATAAGCACCATGGACTCCAGATTATAAGGCTCGATAATCGATAGTTTGCCCCGTTTCCAAGCAATCTCTACATATTCATATCGAAATCATATTTTCTGAGCAGGCTTATAAGAGCTAGAGTACCCATATTTGTCATGTAACTTCGAGATTAGCATATATATCCATCATTTTATAGATTTCAACTTAACATAATTCATAAATTTTCTATTCACAATCAAACTAGAGGACAAATCGTGATCAATAAGTTATCTAGCATTGAAACTAATCCATTTTGGAAAGAGACTAAGGAATTATAAATCTTGTAGAGGGAAATTGCAAGTCAAGAACAAATCTATGCTTAGATATTTATAAATCAAGCTTAAGTTTTTTTTGGCAAAAATTGTTTGCAATTGAAGCGTAACATCAATTAATTCGCTCGTCGATCCCACATTCATGTTGTCTTCAATAGGCACAAAAATCGGTTTATGTGAAGATTTATGGCGCTTGAATATTAAAGCAGACATTTACAAGTTTTGTATTGTGATTGTCAGCTGGAATGTGTGTCTGCCCAAGTAATTTCGTCAGATTGCGTGTTCGGTTAAATTATATTTAATTCAACAAGTGGGCGGGCCGTTTAAAGGCATTGACTACATTAAGTTGAAAAGTTTGTTTGTGTGTGGCAAGTCAAACGGCACATGCGAACCGAGCAAACTCAAACAGAACTTAGCCAAGAGCAGGCAGAAGTGCCACACATGCAAATACACACAGATACAGACACACACACACACACACACACACAGATACAGTTACAGCTACAGCTATTTCTACATCTCCAGCGACTCGCAGACATGCAATATAACGAGCTTTAGCCGCAATTTAGCGCACAGTTAGAGAGAGAAACTTGCCAACGCGGCGTTGCATATTAATAGAAAAGCGAGCGAAGCCAAGGAATTTTATAATAGCCAAACCGCACTTTGAATACTCTACACAGATCTTTGCACGACACTTTCTATTTATCAACTTGGCATGGAAAAATCAAATAAGTTCTTTAATAGCAGTTTTTTTTTTATGGCATCGTTAAAGCATATTTCGCTTGACGCAGCTGTTCGATAAGCTATCTGAACAATAAAACTAAAGTGATATTCATTTGGGAATAGCCTGAAATAATTGCATGCACATATATCACATTTGGAATTGCAAAAAACGAATTATTCGATTTATATGACGAAAGACAAGTAAAAAGAGGAATGTAATTCGATCAATTTTAGACAAGTCGATAAGTTTGATGAATATCGATAACATTAATAGCAAAGCTATCGATTGCCAGTTATCGACCAACTTCGTGGGCATCGATAACTTTGATAGATTTTGAAGGTATCTTAAGCCAGAGCCAGAAAATCGTGAGTACAAAAATTATATTTACTGTTAATCGATATACTTCGTAGCTATCGATAACTGTACTGCCAACTTGTTTTTTCTGCAAATTTATCGCAGCCTAGTCAAAGTTTCTACAGAAAATAATTCGAATTGAGATGATTTTCATCCTATATTCATACAAGTTCGATTTTCGTGTATACCTCAGCTACAAGTGAAAGCAAATATATAGTTTGCCAACTAGCGCATTATATAACCACCCCATCCCCTGCCCCTTAGCACAATCAAGCCCTGGACACCGCACTCCTTCAGCAGCAGCCGAGTGCAGCAGAGTTAAAGAGCCAAAACGCAAAGCGAATAGCAACAACAACAATGCGACAAGTGTACCATAAATTCCAATGAGAAATACACACACGAACACCCCCCCCCCTCCCACACACACACACACACACACACACACTTATAGAAAACCAATCGACGCCCACACAAAAATAATTTCCGGTTCAATTAAACGCTTGTTTATTTATTTATTTATGCGATGCTCCCACAGGCGGTTGCTGTTTAGGAGGCAACAGAGAGGAACTGGAAAGGGGGGACAGGGGAAGGGCGGCACCGTGTGTTGTCTGACGTCGTTTGGTGGCTGTGGCTTTTATTTTCATTTGCATACGCTATTTAATTGTGGGCAGCAAGAATTGGCATTAATTTGTTTATGAATGAAAACCGCAAAGAGAACAAAAAAACCTTCGAAAGATTAAAGCGAAGACGAGACGCACTCGGGTCGAGTTGGCAGCGCTGTAAAATTAGAACAAACACACACACACACACACAAAGATACACACACACACACACACAAAGATACACACACACACACACAGGATGTCGCCTGAGGCAACTGTGCATCGTTAATCTTGTCAAAGCCAAAGCGAAAGCCTTAAAGCAAGTTGGCAGCTCCGGGGCAAAGGCATTAGTTAAGGACCAATGCAAAGGCAAAGGAAAAGAGCGAGATAGAACTAGAGGGAGAGCGAGAGAGAAGGCTGAGGACTGCGATCCTGTTAACCGCAAAATGATTGCATACTTTAATGGGCACAGCACTTAGGCCAGCTTGTCAGCTACTCCAACTGCTCTCCAGCACACTGCAACACTTAACCCTCATACCCCGCCCCGCAGCCCGCATGCCAGCCACCTAGACTCTCCATGTCAAAGCTTCCTGCTGCAGTTGCGATAGGCACAAGGCGGATGCTGCAAATTGCAATTGAATCAAACTAACTGCGAATGGATAGCGAGAGCGCGGGTTTGGGGCATTGCGAGGGGTAGACAGCGGGCAAATACGCAAATGTGAAAGGTTAAGGGCTGCGTCATGCGTGCCACAGCTGCAGTATGCAGGCTGGCTTTCAAGTGTGCCACATTTTGTGGCACAGTGCAAGAACCACAGCGAGAAATTCTGACTGTGAAAAGTTAATGTGCAAATGCTCCCAACATGCTCATTTCTTATTCGCATTTTAACTAAAATCTCAAATGTTCTTTAATAGACGAAAATAAAATACATAAGAAAATTTAAGCTGAGCAATTCATAAAAGACGAAATAGTAGAAGAAAAAAAAACCAACGTATATCCAAGTTTTGTAAGGAAAACTTTTAAATAATCCAAGACAAATGGAAAATGTTTCTCAAAGAAGAACAAATTGTAAGAAAACTACAGATTAACATTGAGGAAACCTGATAGAAACACATAAATTTATTAAATTTAACAATTTTTAGATATCATACAAGCTATTCACTTAAGAATTTTCAAGTCAAGAACATAAACTTAAACGATTTTTAAGCAGTTTTAAGGTTTTTTTTTTTTTATTTTCAATAAGAGATTCTCTCAAAAAACGTAAATAATTTCAATAGCAATTAGTTTATATATGCACTAAAATCGTGTTAAGGCCAAAAACCTTTTAAATGCACGATAAATAACAGGAATTTGAGTGTGAGAGCTTATGCATAGCGGTAAAGGGCAGCCATATCTTGGCAGCTTATTAAGCTCACATAACAAATCGCTAGAAAAGTGCAAAAGACAACAAAAAATCACTTTGCACTCAAAAGGCTGTCGAGCAATACACAAGCTGCCCACAAATACACATACACATACACATCACAAACACGCACGCACACATGCACTCGAAAATCCTTTAACGCGACAAGAAATGGCGAAGACACACACACAAACATATAAAAAGAAATAAAGGCAAGGCAAATCTCATGCATTTTGCACACACAGATTTTACAGGGCAATAAAAAAGGCGGCGCTGCCCGCCGTCACGAAGCTGTGCTGCCATAAAACTGTTAGCTAACAGTGCGATAGTTTGCCATAAAGAGAGCGAGAGAGAGCGAGCGCTGCTTGTCAGCACGTGCGCATGCACGCTGCTTTGTGACGTCGTTAATGACGTTTTGCAAGCGAACAATGCGAAAATGCGTAGAAGGCAAAATGAAGAAAGCAGCCGCTGTCGCAGCGCTGCAGCGTAGCCGCTGCTGAACTGTTGCAAAGCTGAGGCGGCCTAATGAGCGGAAGGAAACGCGACGCCATTACATAAACGAGAGATGACAAATGATAGAGGGCGCGAGGGGCGGCGAGGGCGGCGTGAGAGACGCAATGGTTAACGATGTGCGTTTCATACACACACACACACACACACACAAGCACACAAGCACACACATTTACATACCTTTGAAACAAGCACAACCCATGATGTAGCCCATCATCAGCGTGGCTTTGAGGTCGCTTTTAAGCTGCCCAACGTTCTGCTGCTGCTTATTGTTGTTGTTTTACTGTTAGTTTGCTTATTAAAGTTATTTTTAAGATTTCATCAGTTTGGTGCATCAATTAACGGCAGTTATGTGAATTCCCTCTCGAGCGAGAGAGAGAGAAAGAGAGAGAGCGGAAGCTAGTCCTGGTGCCGGCTCTCGTGTATTTGTTTTGTTTGTTTGTTTGTTTTTTTTTACCGTTTTAATCGCCTGCGGCCTTATCAAACGTTCACGTTCACGTTTAACGGGCCAAGATGCAGGTTGTGCGTATGTATGTTTGTTTGTATATACACATACATATGTATGTATGTATTTGTGCGTTTGTATGGCCCCTTGAAACTTTTATTTATTTATTAATTGTTGATTGTGACGACAAACTTTGATTTACACACGACTTTATCACATGTTCTACGGCTTCTTTATTTGCTGCTTCTTCTTTTTCTTCTTCTTGGCTAATAAAGCATTTTCTAGTTGATTCTTTTTATTATTGTTTATCACTTATTGCTGCAGATTCTTTAGTTTCGACGTTATTTGTGCGGAAAATTTACGCTCTTCGATGATTTCACTCGTTTATATTTTGTTGTTAATATTTTTTTCATTTGTGCGTTCAATTTCGATTGTTTATAATTTTAAAATTTATTAAACTGATTGTGCTGAGTTTGTTTTTGTTTTGTTGTTGTTATACTTTTTTTCATTTCGCCCATTATTCAATACGTAATTTATAATATCACAAAAAGATTCACTGACATGGGGCAAAAGGCAATTAAAAATTTTGTGTTCTCAAGTTCATTCAGAAATTCATCAGAAATTTCAAATATTTAAAAACGCTTTTCTTATGCATAATTGGACAGGTGACTAAGGCTTGTCTATAAATAGAGCCTGTGCTCAAGCCGGAAAAACAGGAGGAATGTACGAAGAAAATGCATACAGAGCATTTTATATGATTATGGTTGAATGACATTAGCTTAAGTGTACGCAAAGTGTCATTTATAAAATATTGCTTGAGGCAAACAAACAGCTTTTGAAATACATGAAAGCTCTATAGTATCAATACTCAGATAGCTGAAAGCTCTGTACGCTAAAAGCTCAATTGATTGACTATAAAAGCACAAGTGCGCTTGAAATCATACGAAAGTTTCTGCATATTTAGTCTCAATACAGAAAACTCAACGAAATGGTTTTCAAATCACACGTAAGCTCATTTAAGAACATTGTCTACCGTTTAACTTAATCAAGCTGCTTTTAAATGTACTGAAAATAAGCTAGAAATTGCAAAAAAGCTTCTGTTCCGAGCATCAACAATGCTTGTAAACATTAAACAACTTTGAAAGCTCATTAAAGCTTGAAATAACAAAAAAAAAAAAAAAACATATTCCGAGGTTTAATAAAACTTTAAAGCTCGTATCATTATTATTCTAAAAGAAAAAACGTAAGCTTCGTCAGCCTGACTTGTTGATTTAATCAGACAAGCTTGCCCTGCATCATAATAGATAGAAGTATTTCAGTATTCTTGAAGCTTAGATCATTATTTACAGCTCAAAAAGAGGGCACTTGATGCACATTAACACACGCACACACACACATATAGAGACACTAGCCTGGGCTCATTTCACTTGTGGAATGAAAACCAACACCAGCAGCAGAGTGTGCACTTGCACACATAGCTGTCACACAGCCTCCCAAACCAATTGATAAAGATTATAATCCAAAAGTTGACAAGACGCGCCAGGCACGACATGGAACCGGGTCGTATGAGTCGGATGAGACAGCTGCATTGATAGCTACCACAAAAGCAGCGAAAATTCAATAGAACATTTTAATTGAATGCGAAGCGACGAGATGAATCGAAATTTGAAATCGCAATCGGGATGGGAATCGGAATGGAAATGGGAGGCGTTTTGACAAAAGAAACTCAACAAACCACCGGAGAGCGAGAATTGAATACCGGAAGCTGCAGTGCGACAAATTTAGCAACAATTGTGCACAATTAAAAAAAATACGACAAAAGATAAAAAATGAAAATGAATTCGCGAGACTTTCGCATCAAGTATACGCCACCATAAAAGTGAACATCGATGCGAGAATTATAATTGATGGCCGGGCGAGCGAGGCGCCCACCATACATATTCAAGAATTCCAGCTCCGGTACTCTGTATGTCTGTATGTGTCGGGCTCTACGATGGCCCCCGGCTGGAGGTCAGTAGCACATGGCGAGGGAGCATTGGGGCCGAGCAGCGATTGGCGGGGCGCTGCACAAGCTGTTGAGACATTGACATTGTCATTTTTCGACTTTTATGGCGTCTTAAAAATGTATCTCGTAAATATGAACGCAACAGAAAAAAAAAAAACAAAATAGCATGTGGGCAGCACAGTTTTTAATTGAGGCAAAACGAAACGAGAGCCGAGAAATGGGCAAAGCGAGAGAACACACATTAAATGAACAAGCTTAAATTCAATAGTCGAGCAGCGGATACCCTATAAAGAGATGTGCGGAATGTATTAAAAATTAATTTATTCTTCTAAGAATTACATCTTAAGTGCAACGTTTACGAATACTGTGTAAAGCAGAATTGAAAAGAAGTTGTATGTAAAAGTTCAACAACTGATCGTTTAACCCTAACATATTCCAAATGAATGTTGTTAAGAGCATTTGTAAAACGTTTACGAATTGGCGTACCAAAACAGAATTGAAAAGAAGACTACGTGAGCTGCTATAAAAAGCGTTTCGTGCAACGTTTACGAATGTGAGTCAAAGCAGAATCGAAGATTAGCTAACGCTAAAGTTAACTCTTAACTTCTATGCGTTAATTTAAGCTAATATGCCTATTCTTTTTTTTTTGCATAGAGTATATTCGTGAAAAATGAAAAACACTTTTTGCCAGTCCGGAAATTCGGGCTGTGTTTACACAAAAACCGAACAACAACAATAAATCGAAATTCGAACAGTGAGCAAAAATGCTAATTAATGAGCCGCAGCAAGTGGGAGGGGCAGGGAGGGCAGTGAAAGGGATTTGGTTAAATGAAAACGCACACTGAGAACAGCAAAAGCATTTGTTAAACAAATTAGACCCAAGAGAATGCGGTTGGGGGAGCGGGCGGTCAGGCAACTAGCCAAGTTGGCCAACTGACTCATTGGCAAGTGTCGTAGACGGAAATGTTTTAGGACAAAGTACAAAGCACAACAGAACAGAATAGAAAGCGAATGTGGAAGCAGAGACTGCAAAAACTGAAACAGAAGTGGCAACAACTCGAAACGGATGTCGTTTCGAGTTGATTACGAGCCAATGACATGCAAAGCTCGAGGAGTGGCACAGACAGACAAGGACCTGACCTGACCGGACCGGACCGGACCGGACCGACCCGGGCAGGGCAGGGCAGGACAGGGCAGGACCAGACCGAACCTGCCAGGACAGCAGCAGCATATCTCTATCGGGCTATTGACTTCCAAACCGGGCAACACGCCCTCTGCGAGGCAACAATTTAATTAGCAAATTAAATGCAAAATGCGCAGGTGACGGCCGCAAAACAAATCGATCCATAATCATAACAAACATATACACACACACACACACACACAGCTGTCTCCAGGTAGCCAACAATTTGGCCAAAAGCGGTCGTTCATCATTTAAAGCCAAATTACTTGGTAAACAAATTGAAAAACAGCAACACGACCAACTTTAAAGGCTGCCAAACTGCCAGCTAATGATTGTTTATTTCTTCTCACTCTATTTTGTTTTATCTTTTTTTTTTCCCCAATGATTCCTAATCGAAACTTATCAATGACTGCCCTAATTGCCAGATTGCCAGCTACTCACTGCTAATGACTAAGATCTTTGAGATTAGCCAAGCAGAAGCAGAACACAGAAAAAAAGGCATTTAATACCCTAGAAATAAGCTAAGCAGCTTTCAGTAATTCGTTTAATTAACATCTAGGCACAACTCGATGAATCTCGATAAATTTTGTGAATTCCACTTTGACAATCGGAAAATGAGTGAGTTTTAGAAAAAAAAAAAAAACACCCTCGTCAACCTAAAAGACTTATGGCTGCCATCTTATAGGGTATCATTATTAAGTTGTTTGCAATCAAGACACACACAAGTACATACACACACACATAGTTTACGTGAGTTTACAGTTCCCCAGCTATACACTCCGCTCACTCCCCAATTGGAATTGGACTTCAGTTGGCTGGCACGTCTAATTGCATTATCTGAACTGTGGGCGTAGCACACTGACTCAATTAGGCATTATATATAGATAAATTGTATATATATATATATGCGCACAGGTATAATATCCGAGGAGTGCTTATCTGAGGCGCGGCGTGTAGCAATTTATCTGGGCAGCTAATAAGATTTCGTTGGAGAAACTTTAAAGTAAAAATAGCATATCTTATTAGATTAGAATGCGACACGAGCGGAAATCAAAGTACAGAAAATACTAAAACTTAAACAGAATCAAAACGATGTGAATAAACTTTGCTATTGTTAATCGCAGCTCAACTTGTCGAAGCCAGTTTCACAGAGCGAATTCGAGAATTCTCATTACACACACACAATCAAGGTAAAGTCTCAAAGAAACGAGTTTTAGAGCGTTATTCGGCGCACTTTGCAACACTGGATTGCTAACCTGGCACAACAAGAGCGTTAAGAAGAAGAGTCATATCAGCTTGAATGCACTAAAAACAAACAAAATAAATAGCAAAAGCAAAGAAATTTGTTTGTTATTATGATTAAAGTGCAAAGGAAATACTGAAAATTACACAAACAAACACACACGTACACACATATACACACACACACACACACACAGACACTGCACTGGCATCTCCTCCAACAATGACGAAAGCAGAGCGAAAAGCGGAGCAGAGAGGTGCACGACCTCAGGATGCAGTGCGTCGATACGCGAGCAGCGACACACACACACACACACACACACACACACACGAGCAGAGCGAATGTCTGTGTTTGCAACAATTTTTTTCTTTAAAACAATTAAAAACAGTTTCAATTAATTATATATTTATTTATAAACATTTAGCGAGCAAACAGCGCAACATTCTAGCGAAAAATTAGCCACAGTCTGCTGAGCTTGATTTTTTTTTTCTTTGCTCATTTTTGCGTTTTGCTTTCAGCAAATACAAAACAAAGCCAGCGTGAGAGAGCGACAGCGAGAGAGGGGGTAAAAGAGAGCGGGTGCGAGAGATTGAGCGCAGACATTGGCAGAGCGTGAGAGCGCGTGCCGCAACGCAACGAATAACAAAGTTAAAAGGCAACGCGCAGAAAGGATGCGGCAAGAGTAAATTTCGTATGTGTGTGTGTGTGTGTGTGTGTGTGTGTGTGTGCGTCTGTGTTTGTGTTTGTGTTTGCGCTTGTGAGAGCGTGCGAGAGAGAGCGCGCGGCGCCCAATGGTAGGCAACAATTTGGTGCTTCCTCTTGCCACTCGCCCGCTGCGTATGCGTAATGTGAGCAGCGCAGGCGGCGAAAATCAGACCAAAAGTGGAATGACGGCAAATTAAAGTTCTTTTCGTTCGCTGCAGCAAACACACAAAACAACCCACCTCACACCCCCTCCGCACGCCAAAAAAAAAAAAGGAATGAAATAACACACCCTTTCCCCACACACCGCACCGGATGCCAGGCTACCTACAACTGCTATGCATACATTCACACACACACACACACACACACACACCAACACGCACACATATGCAAATTAAAAATGCCATTGCGTGCTTGCTTTTAATTCGCCCCCCCTTCGACGCTTCCCCCTTGAGCCTTGCCCCTCATTCCACGCCCCTCGCTGTTGCATTTTACACAGAAATTCCTTCTACAAAAATATTTTGTTTGCGCTTTGTGCGACTTTCGTTAAAAACCAAAACACAAGAACCCAACTTGCGGGACTTGTGCCGTTAGTCGAGCTGCTGGTTCGTGCTGTTTGTTTTTGTTCCGTTTCATTATTATTTCTTTTATTTTTGATTTTTTTTTTCTAGCAGCGCTTTATTTTTGTGGGCGGCGCTGTTGTTGACGCTGACAAAAGCTCAATTGTAATTGCATTTGTTTGCATTGCGCTGACAATGCAATTTTGTTGTTGTTTTTCGCCCTAGTGGAAATAAGATCTTTAAGAGATATGTATAAGAAAACATGAGTCGAATAGAACCAAATTGGAGTTTTACAAATTGTTTTCAACAGCAAATGAGGCCTTACAAAATGCTCGTTAAACAATTTGTGTAGTTGCAAGCTTTTTTGCAACCAATTAATTCTAACTGCTTGTGCAGCGAAATTCAAACACTTAGATTAGTTTTCAAATGGATTTATTTGCCGCGCAGGGCACTTATTAGAATTTATAAGTTTTAAATTGTTGCTTGGCAGCCAACTCGAATTAGTTGTGCCTAGGTTGCGATCAAAACGAAAGACTGACTGGTTATGACAATATGTAAAGCGAATCGAAACGAAACTCCAATAAGACGCTCGCCGGTTAGAGCGAAGGGCAGCAATGCAAGCAAAGCAATTCAGAAGGAGAGTGGACAGCAGCTTACAAAGAGCGCGCAAAAAAACTATTTGCTCTTAGGCTGTAATTATGATTGTTATTTTCTGCTGTTGGATGATGTCCGCAGCCGTCGGTGTTATCTCTGCTGTTACTTGACCAAACATTCTCCCCCCGTTGGAAGGCAAGGGCTTTCAACATCATCCTGTTTGGGCAGCAAACACAGCTTTCGTACAGCTCTACGTATGACTCCAGTCGCAGTTTGAAGCACAGCAACTCTGGATACCCCATCAGATCCAGAGATCAGCTCTTGCACTCTGGCGAGTGGCCACTTCAGCGGCGGTAGATTCTCATCCTTTACAAGGACAACATCGTTAATGGAGAGTCCAGGCTGAGGAGTGCGCCATTTGGAGCGCTGTTGAAGAAGCGTCAAATACTCTTCGCGCCAACGGGCCCAGAATACTTGTTGGAGATATGTGACGCGCTGAAAATGATTAAGCCGATTGAAGTTAAGCTGCCTTAGATCGGGCTCAATGTATGATGAAGATGGCGCTGTACCCAGGAAGTGTGCGGGTGTCAAGACGTCAAGATCACCTGGATGCTCTGAAAGTGGAAGTAATGGTCGAGAATTAATAATTGCCGTGATGTGGCAGACGAGCGTACGCAGCGAATCGAAATCCAAAATGGAAGAGCAAACAGATCGATAAAAGTGGTGCTTAGCAGTCTTCACAGCGGCTTCCCATAGTCCACCAAAGTGCGGAGAGCGAGGAGGGATGAACAACCATTCAATTGATTCGGTTAGGCAAAACTCGTTAACGGCCTTGACATGCTCGTCTCTCAGGAACAGGCGGTTCAGATCTGCTAGTTCGTTCTTGGCACCTACGAAGTTTGTCGCATTGTCAGACCAGATCCTTGAAGGTCGAGAGCGAGTCAGGATGAAACGTTTTAGGGCGTTTAGAAACGATGTTGTGGACAAGTCCTTTACAAGCTCTAAGTGCACCGCCTTTGTAGCGAAGCATATGAACAGACTGATATAGCATTTCACTGGTGGCCTGTTGCGCACTTCGTTCTTGTAGTAAAATGGTCCACAGTAATCAACGCCAGTGACCATAAAGGGATACGATGTATTAAGACGATCAGCTGGTAGGTCTGCCATTATATGCTCGGCCAATCGTGGCTTGGCACGAAAACAGATTATGCATTTGGCAACAATACTGGAGACTGTTTTTCGACCGCCAATGGGCCAGTACTGGAGCCGAATCGAAGACAATAAAGCGCGAGGTCCAGCGTGTAAGTTTCGTTTATGAAAGTAAACTATGATTGCTCGCGTCACAGGATGCTGACGGGGCAATATAATCGGATGTCGCGCTGAGAAGTCCAACGACGAGTTTTTCAGCCGTCCACCGATGCGAAGTAGGCCGAAGTCGTCAAGGAATGGTGCAAGAGAGGCCATTGAGCTAGACGGTTTGACATGCCTTCCTTCCTTCAATGCCTTGTAGTCATCGCTGAGAGTAGCCATTTGCACTGACCGCAGCAACCAATGTGTGCCATGATGCAAGTGGTCAACGGTTAGTTCAGCTCCTCGGATTCGATTTACAAATTTGTAAACATAAGCAAAGACCCGCTGCAGCTTGGAAAACGAATTGATGAACTTGCAACCAATCGAGAGATCCGGTTGCGCTGCAGTTCCGAGGAGTACCTTGTGTCGAAGTTCTGGTAAGGATTCGACAGGTACACAGGAGGCAGGCCACTCTTCCTTTCCCTTACTGAGAAAACTCGGACCATGGGCCCATAATGGAGACCGGAAGAGCTCACTAGGCAGCGCTCCTCGTGAAATTATATCCGCCGGGTTTAATTCGGTGGGAATATGATGCCATTCCATTCCAGTGGTGAGCTCTTGGATGGCTGCGACTCGGTTGGCAACGAAAACATTGAATTTCGAAGCATCATTGCGAATCCAAGCCAAAGTCACGGCAGAGTCTGACCAACAGTAATACCGACAGTCGAACACTTTCATTTGGCATATTTCGCTGAGAAGTTGAGCCAGTAATGCAGCTCCGCAGAGTTCCAGCTTTGGTACCGTGATGGTTTTCACAGGCGCGACACGCGATTTGGAGCATAAGAGACGCACGCTGGTGTTGCCATTGCACTTTGAGACTGTATAGACGCATGCTCCATAAGCGCTTAGGCTGGCATCACAAAATCCGTGAATCTCCACTGTACTGTCTGATGAGAGTGCTCGACGGGGATACTGGAATTGCTGAGTATACTCAAAATCAGCGCAGAAGTTGACCCAGGCTGTGCTTAAGTGTACAGGCAGGCTCTCATCCCAGTCCAGCTTTTCTCTCCAGAGATCCTGCATAAAAATTTTCGATTTTGTTATTACGGGACCAACAAGACCAAGGGGGTCGTAAAAGCGAGCAATTGCGGAGAGTATTGACCGTTTTGTCAGTCTGGAGGGCAACCTCAGTGGAGAGAAGGAGAAAAGGAAACAGTCTGAAGCGGGATCCCAAACGAGGCCTAACGTTTTCGTGATGTCACTGCCATCGTCAAACTTAAGCAGCGTTTCTCTATCCTCTTCCGGTATGTTTTGGAGTACAGATGTGTCGCTAGAACACCATTTGCGCAGCCTAAAGTTCCCCTTGGCGAGTAGTCCAGATGTTTGTTTCAATATCTCAATTGCTTCTTGAACACAGCTACCACCAGAAATGAGGTCATCCACGTAGAAATCTCTTTTAACAATGTCAGAGCCAATAGGGAAAGTTTTCTGCTCATCCATGGCCAGTTGGTGCATAGCTCGCACTGAGAGAAACGATGCTGGTTTTGTGCCGTAGGTGACGGTGTCTAATTTGTAAATCTGTATCTTCTGATGCTGAGACTCACGCCACAAGATACATTGAAAATAACTGTCTGCGGGTTCGACTCGTACGCATCGATACATTTTGCATATATCGCCTGTCAGGGCGACTGCAAATGTACGAAACCGCATCAGTATCGAAAACAGCTTCGGTTGGATGGTAGGACCTGCCATCAGTGCATCATTCAGCGAGTGTCCAGAGGTAGTAACTGCTGAGCCATCAAACACGACCCTTAGCTTGGTTGTAGTGCTATCCTCCTTCAGCACGCAGTGATGTGGCAGGTAGTACTTGCATTGGCCCAGTGCAGCTGAGGTAACAAGTGACATGTGACCCAAGTCAAGATACTCCTTGATAAATGCTGCATACTGGGGTTTCAATAGTGGATTACGGTCTAGTTTTCTTTCTAAGTTCAGGAATCGACGAACCGCCTGTTGATAGGAGTCACCCAGCGGATACATGCCTAGACGTAGCGGTAAACGAACTGAATAGTCGCCAGTCGACAGACGTTTAAAATTGGCCTGAAAGTGTGCCTCACAGTCGCGTTCCTCCTTGTTTGGTAAGGACTCAGGGTCGGTGCAGCATTCCAATTCCCAAAAACGACGGATTAATTCATCAATCTGTGTATTAGGCTGCAGATGCGAGTCAACCAGCAGATCTGGATTCTCCATTGATCTCATGGCCATGAATGATGATTTTCCAGCATGTGAGGCACCTCCCGTAGCCACCCAACCAAGGCGAGTCTTTTGCAATATCGGCAGTCCAGCAGCTAGTTTAATCTGGCCGACGCATAGCAGATCGAAGAACAGACTGGCTCCAATCAACATGTCGATTTGCTGAGATTTAAAGAATTCAGGATCAGCTAGTTGTATATTTGATGGAATGTTCCATGATGCAGGGTCAAGAGTGAAGCCAGGCTGATTATCGGTGATGGATGGTGCAATCAAGGCCGGGATGCATGTGGAGTACTCCGACACTCGAGATTTGACATTGATGTTGACCGAAAACCCATCGGACGCAAATGCTGCATCACCAATGCCAGAGACGATTGCTGTTGACTTGAATTTGCGCAGCTGGAGCTGATGAGCAAGACGAGAGGTGATGATGTGCAACTGCGACCCAGAGTCGAGCAACGCACGGCAAGGCACCAAGGAGCCAGCGCGATTTTTCACGTTGATGACGGCAGTGGCAAGCAGGACCACATCGTGCTTGAGATGCTGGGCGGTAGTGAGAGGCGAAGATAAAAGTGCCGCCAAGGTGTTTTGGGATGACGAATAAGTTTCGGTATCTTGAGCATTGTTTGGGCTAGAAGCAGCGATGTGACTGCTTGTGTTGCCAAGATGCAACAAGCTATGATGTTTGCTTCCACAAACTCTGCAAGCGCTGGAGCCGCAGACTCTCAGCTGATGTCCCCTTTGCAGGCAGTTTAGGCACAGCGCAAGCCGCTTGGCTTCGTGAAGGCGCAGCAAGGGCGATAAATTTGCGAATTGCAAACATTTATAAATAGAGTGGCCTGCGACTTCACAAAACACACAAGCACTCGTTCCATTCCTAGTCACTACAAACGTTCTTCTACTACTGTTGTTCTGGCCCACCTGGGAGCTAGGCGTGTACATTGCCGTAGCGTGATCCGCATTTTCCAGCCTTTGGCAACGCCTCTCTATGAAGGTTGTAAACCGCTCGCATGATGGTATGACGTCCAACGGCGCATCATCCTCCCAGCTAGCCTGCGTAACGCTATCTAGTTTTTGCAGCAACGTATGTACTATGACGCAACCGGCGATCTGTTCCACACTGCCCATCGATTTTAAAGCACGTAGATGAGAGTTGAGCTTATCTGAAAATTCGCGCAGCTGTGCAGTCGCGCCCTTGTCCACCTTTCTCAAACCCAAAATTTCAGAGATGTGTGCCTGAAAAATAAGACGCTTGTTATTAAAACGCTTATCAAGCAGTTCTAAAGCGGCAGCATAATTTGCGTTTGAAATTTCCAATGAGCGAATTGTATCCAGCGCTGTTCCTTTAAGGCATGACCGTAGATGCTGGAGTTTTTCAATGTTGGTCAAATACGGATCCTTGTCAATGACCGTGGTGAACAGGTTCGAGAAATCGGCCCATTCTGTGTAGCCTCCACTAAACTCCGGCAATTTAAGTTGAGGCAATCGAGAGTGGTTTGGAACAACAAAGGTAGAACGCGAGTCATCGGCTGCGGCTGAATTGAAGGTGGAACAATGCGGAATCTGCTGAACCTTGCTTCGATTTCCGCGCTCGCGTTGAAGGGACAGCCGTAGCTGCCTAATAGTTGACTCAAAACTTGTCTGAAGATCCTCATCAACGCTGGCATGATCCACCTCCAACAAACCATCACAGACTATCTCAAATTTCGCCTGCAAGTCAGATGCCATGCTTATGTAATCTTGCAGCTCGTAGTCATCAACATCGCGAAGTCGAGCGGGATCAAGTTCCGAGGACAATCTATTGAGTCGATCAGTTAAATTCTTGATCTTTATTTTAAAAACAGCAGCCTGGGTTCCAACCGCCACTTGACTAGCTGATGTCGCCTCATCATTTCCATTTGCACTTGCACCTTCATCAAACATTATGAATGTAGCGCACAACAAGGTTCACACAGCCGAACTACAATACAAGTCTGATCGCGCAAGTGTTCGTTCGAGCGAGATAGCGTATAGCGGGTTATAGCGCGCAACGATTAGCGGGGATTTGCTACGGCGTTTATGTATAACAACCAACTGTATGCAGATGCGCAAGCAAACGGCTCACCACACAGCTTTGCCCGAACTGATAACTGTCCGTTGACACGACAAGAACGAAGTACAAGAAAAAATAGAAAAAATGAAAGAAAGAAAAATCACGTCGGGGTCACCAAAATGTGTAGTTGCAAGCTTTTTTGCAACCAATTAATTCTAACTGCTTGTGCAGCGAAATTCAAACACTTAGATTAGTTTTCAAATGGATTTATTTGCCGCGCAGGGCACTTATTAGAATTTATAAGTTTTAAATTGTTGCTTGGCAGCCAACTCGAATTAGTTGTGCCTAGGTTGCGATCAAAACGAAAGACTGACTGGTTATGACAATATGTAAAGCGAATCGAAACGAAACTCCAATAAGACGCTCGCCGGTTAGAGCGAAGGGCAGCAATGCAAGCAAAGCAATTCAGAAGGAGAGTGGACAGCAGCTTACAAAGAGCGCGCAAAAAAACTATTTGCTCTTAGGCTGTAATTATGATTGTTATTTTCTGCTGTTGGATGATGTCCGCAGCCGTCGGTGTTATCTCTGCTGTTACTTGACCAAACACAATTAAAAGAACTTTCAAAATAAATCGCAACCGGCAATATATAGGAAATAAAATATGCCCAGTCTGGTTAAATATGTGTTGCACACCTCTCTAAACAGCTTCACCTTGAGATTATGCACAAGCACAAGCGTCTGGCTAAATGACTTATAAAAATTGCAGCTATCAAATATTACATATTTTATAGTGTAAAATTGTTGTTGTCTTAGCGCACACAGTGCGACGCGAACACATACACAAACACACACGCACACACACACACACGTGGCCGAACACACTTGAAGCGAGAGACAGCGCGAGCGACAGAGAGCGGTAAACACTTAAGCAAACTGTGTACAGTAAACACAATTATGAATATTTGTTATAACTTTTTTTTTAATTATTTTTTTTTTTTATTATATTTTTATTTATTTTTTTTGAGTTTTGTTCTAACGCGACGACAAAAACACGCGCTGCTCTAGCGGGCTGCGTTTTAATGTTAACTGAACATAGGAAATGACAGAGCCGACAGCAGCGAAACAGTTTGCCATAAAAATGCGACGCCGTCCAGCTAGCCCCAAAAGGCAACAACAAAAACGACGCAGTAGCAAATGATAAAAAGTAACAGTGAGAGAGCGAGCTCACTCTCTCTCTCTCTCTCGCTCTCTCAGCGAAACAAGTGCAAAATAAACAAAAGCACAAAACGTGCGCGTTGCGAGAGAGCGACAACAATGGAGGCGGCGAAGAGAGCGCAACGCAGCGAACACATGCCGGCTGCTGCTGCTGCGGCTGCTGCAGTCGCCGTCGCAGCCTCAAACGCAAAGCAAACACGAAGCGCAATGGCGTAAAGCTTCAGGCGCACTGAAATGTCTTTTCTAGATAGTCATCAAATATGTAGCCTGCTCATTATGAGCGGAGCGAGCGAGCGAGCGAGCGAATGGGTGGTGGGAGGGGGGTGGGTATAGCAAAGGAGCGTAGCATGCAAAAACTGCGGCGAGTCAAAATACATAAATGTCAAGAGCAAAAGCATGGCAAAAATGTTGTTTGTTTACCGTTCAAATAGCCAGCAATGGACCTCACGCTAACCCATCCCCCTACCCCCCTCCATCAAGCAATTGTTTGTGTTTTGTTTAACAGTTTATCTGACTTTTTGGCAGACTGCCGCATATGCTGACTACAACAACATTGGCATTGTAGTCAAGAACAACGGCAAAACAAATACTTGAGACTTTGTGTGGGGCTTGTGGGGGGCCTGTTCGGATTTAACAAGGCGTTAACTCAACTTAAATTGGCTTTAAGCGCGTCACATTTACGGTTAATGTTAATGCCTGTGTAATTGACTTTAAGCGGAACGCTTGAAAGTAGGCAACGATATTTATCGTTATTCGCCGCAACCCTAAAGTATGCAATGTTTGCTGAGAGGGATTATTCTATACGAGAGGCTAATTAATGAAATTGAATATGGAGAAAGAAGTACATATCTTATCAGTATTTAATTATATTTTTCTTCTCTTGATATTTCTAAAAGCTCTGATTATCTTATTGAAGTAATAATAATATTTCCTAATGTTCACATCTTTACTGCAAATCCCTGCAGAAATCCTTTCTAAAATCTCTCAATAAATTCTCCAATATTCTGGGAAAATTACCGAAAATTCGAATAGGGAATAGGGAATTCGCAAAAGAATTCCACAATGTTTCGAAAACGAATTTAAAAAAGAAATAATTCTACCATATTTCTCAAAAAGACAGCTATACAAGCATTAGTTATAAGAGCTAAGATTTGAATTATCTTCTCATTTTTTCTATTATTATAAATTCATCTTATCAATCAATTAGCAAAACTTTAAACGGATGCAGTGCACATTAATTACACTCAACGTGCAACAATAAAATGTAAACAAAGGAGAGAAACTCTTCGATTCTATAGAAAAACTTCCTCACAATTGTTTTCCATTGCCAATTACAGTGAACCATTTCCCGACAATAGGATCAAGTATACAAAGGGGGGGTGGGAGTGCCTACCCCACACTACTCCCACCCATGTATTATATTCAAAAGTAATTCCCTTTTGGTTTCAGAGACTTACCGTTATTATTGCTGATGGCGAATCGCTGCTGCAGCTGCGCTGCCAGCGCCTGATGATGCTGGGCGAGCGGTGTCAGCGGTGGCGCCGTCTGCTGCCCGACGCCCAGCTGCTGTGGTGCCGATTGTGAATGGGGCACGCCGCCGCTCAGCGAGGATGTGTCCGAGGCGCCATCGTTGCCGCCGCCATTGGCCATGGAATTCTGTTGATTGAGGCTGGCGCCATTGAGCATGGAATTTGCATTGAACTGTTGCACGGATATCGAGTTGGGCACCCCCCCGCCACCCGACTGTTGTTGCTGCTGCTGCTGCTGCTGCTGCTGTTGTTGGTGTTGTTGTGAGAGCAGCGAATTGCCGGCGCTGCCATAGGTCGTGGCATTAATGGAATTGTTGGCTTGATTTATGGAATTATTGTGGACGGCTGAGAGTAGAGAGCCATTCGCGCTGGCTCCACTATTATAGTATGACTCCTCGCCTGCAAAGAGACAGAAGAGAGAGAAAGAAAGTGAGAGAGAGTATATGAGTAAGAGAGAGAGAGAGAGGGAGAGAGCTTGCAGTCATTCATAAATGCAGCGAGCTTTTGCGGCAAAGCTCTGCCATTCAGCTTGCACGGCCAAAGCTTTCGCTAGCAACTTTCACCAGCAGCGCCATCTGTTGGCGAGCGGCGGTAAAAAGCTAGCCCTGGGCCAAGCAGTCACAACTTGAGGTAGGTTCGATTTATCAGAGTTTTTCCTTCTTTTTTCCCGCTTCGATTTGGCATTCAGGTGGCGTGCGTTGTTCGGCGTTGTTTGGCTGCGACTCGGCGACGTCTCGCATTGACAATTAGCTGCCGTTGATTAATTACCATCGAGAGAATGCCACGACGTCGCCGGCGACAGCCAATGGAAGTGTATCCCGCTTTGAACATCTGCCCAGACGGACGGATATGTCACGGCTGAAGTGGAAGGAATCGAACCCCCCCTCGTCCTACTTTGATGTACAAACAATTTAGCAAAGTGGCAGCAAACCTGGCGTCAGCAGCTCGTGACTGAGCCAAGTCAACGTGGCTCGTCATTGGCTAAATCGTGCGTGGATTATGGCCAATTTCCGTTTGTTGACTCTGTCAGCAACGCGCACAAAGGCCAAAACTGAAAGCGAAAGATACATTTGTGTGCGCGCCTGCGGTCCGTTTGCTAAAGTTGGCCACAGTTTGCCGGCTTATAAAACTTTTGTGCCTTCTGCACAAAAACAGAAAGCCAATGGGAGGATTAGATGTGAGCTATATGATTAGCCTACAGTTCACAAATACACAAATACATGTGTGTGTGTGTGTGTGTGTGTGTGTGTGTGTGTGTGTTTAGCTCACAGTTTAAACCATGAAAAGTAACTCTGCGGGCGCAAAGCCTTTAAAAATGAAAGCTGAAAATCTAGCTAAGGAATTTTTATAAATTAAAATCAATTTCACAGTATAAACTGCTAAAACAGCTGCCACAATGAAGAGTGGTCGACGAGGAGATACCCTGTGCTTGAATGGAACACCCTGTAACTTTGTCTGAATTCGTATTTTATGAGACTTTTTCATAACAGTCTGTCTTAAACAAAAGCTCACTTTGTCTCTCACCTTATCTCTAACGTTGACTCATTCACTTAATAAAAAGTGTGCAAATTTTTAAGCATGACATGAATTCATGAAAATCGCAGAGAAAGGTGACATTTACAAAAATTGATTGACAAAGTAAAACGAAGAGCGAAAGGCGGAAAGAGAAGACAGGAGAAAGGTGAATAGATGGAAGATAGGGGAAGTTGAGTGGGCAGAAAAAGGTTAAGGTAGAATGGAAGAAAGTGAAGTTGGGAAAAAGAAAAGGGTGAGACAAAAAGACAAGGCGAAAGAGAAAAATAGGCTGAGAGAAAGATAATGTGAAAAATTGAAATGAAGAGTTAAAAACAGCAAGAAACAGTGAGAGCGAGACAGATGAGAATGAGAGAGATAAGGAGAAAGAGAGAAAAAGAGAGCAGTAAAAAATAGAAGGAGAGAAAGTTAAGAAAGCAAAAAGAGAAAAGAGGTGAGAAAGACGTCTGAGAGCGATGGAGGAGGCGTGAAATGAAGAATATCGGCGCAGGCGAGTGAACGAGAAGACGCTTATGATAAAAAGAGAGGGAGTGTGAGACAGAGATTGAGCAGGGGCCATATAGAAAGAGAGAGGTATGGAGAAAGAGTGGGAGACTAAGCTAAAGAGGTCGAGAGAGAGAGAGAGAAAAAGGACTTTTACCCATAACCCTTTCTGTCACTTACCCGGCTCTGGTATATTGCCCAGCGGACTCTCCGGCAGCAGGATGCCCTTTTGCACTAACTCATCGCGATTGGCACGTACAGAAATCTTGCGCTCCAGTGCTGCAAAACAAGTGTTGAATATTAAACTGACTGACCAACACTGAAAATGGAGCAAAAATCAAATCATAATGGGAGAACTTACATTTGGAGGCGGCTTCGAATTTTTCGCTCTTCTTTTTTCGACGCCATTTCCAGGGCTTGAAGAATCTGCCCAGAGCGCTCAGTTTGCTTTTGCGCTCCAGGGGCGGGGTGCGGGTGCCAGAGCCCAGGCTGTTTGTGCGTATGGCGGCGCCATTTTGTTTCTTGGCTGTAACAAGAGAGGAACAGATGAAACAAGGAAGAGATATAATAATTAGCGAAATTGTGTCAACGTCATGAAATTGTATTCGACAAAATGAAAAAAAGATGTAAAAACGCTGCGCGGAAGCGGAAAAGCGATCATCCAAAAATGGGGCGGCATGCCCCCGCCCGCCCCTTAAATAGTTTTGTGTAGCATGCGGCATGTTGCAGTTGCAACATTATTATAGTTGTTGTTGTTGGTGTTGCTGCTGCTTCTCGGTTGAAAGCGAAAATTACGAAAACAATTTCAGCTTCTCTGCATTATATTTTTTATGTAATCAGCAACTGGATGATGATGATGTTCAACATCATTTGACAATTCAATTACAAATTCGCAACGAGTTTTCGCTTCAGCAACAACAATCAAATGAAGAAGAAGAAGACGAAGCAGAAGAAGAAAGCCTGCATACAAATTCTAAGCAAATTGTCTGCCATTAAGCGACATCGCTCGGCCTGCATATAAAATAGCCAATAGCCAGTTGAGTTTAAGCCAAATCTAATTGGCCAACAGGCCAAGCCAAGGCAAGGCAAGGCAAGGCGCAGCAATGCTTAAGTCCGTTTCGGTGGGAGTTGAGCCCCCATTTTAAGATTCCCCGAATCCCCCAACTATTTATAGTCTCTGATATTTGTGCCTCACTTGTCAATCGGCTAAAACACACACACACACACAGAGAGAAGGGGCCGCTCTTTAAGACGGCTGAAAGAAGCACAAGGTATAAAAGAAAACAACCAAGAGTGCTTTAGTCGACTGTGCTTAACGAGAAGATACCCTGTACCTTAATATATATGCGTAACGAGAAGCTGCATACCAAATATGAAGTCTCTAGCACATTTAAACTCCGAATTGTGTTAAATAAATCAATTCTTAACTTTGATAATTATCGATAGTTTAAAAAGAGTTATCGATAAATATACAGACAAGCTCATTCCGTAAAAGTAACTGGCTTTTTTTACAGGGTATAAGAAAACAAAATTCCATCTGACATTTGCCACTCGACGAGCTGTTGCAGCAGCTGTTTCTTGTTTGTTGTTGCTGACTCTGATGTTGTCTCAGATAAACTGGGCACACACACACACACACTTAAAACACACACCCACACTGTCTGTCACACACACACACACAAACACACACACATACACACTCATCTGTTGGTATGGACAGCATTCAAGCGTTGAAATTAGGCTACCTACAAATAGCTGGAGGAGAATTCACACAGCAAAAAATAAAGAACGTAGAAGAGTATAAAAACATTAAAAAAAAATAGTTAAAAGCAAAAAACAGAACCTCACTCAACGAAGCTCAAATACTCTATAAGATCCCTATCGTAAGACTGTCTTATGAAATAATGCAAGTCGAATTGGAATACCCTGTAGTAAAGTGTTTTTGTGTGACAAATCAAATAAATCAAAACCAAAACTGTCGATAATTTAGTTTGTCAGATATCGATCAGCAATTCGATAGTTTTTGTGCATTGTTTGCTATTGAACCTGCTGCTATATATTTATGCTCTTAAGTACGTATTTTAAGGTTGAGCAATTAATAGTCAAAAGAAATATTAGATCGTAGAACTACGAAAAAATGCAGAAGTCAATAAGTATCGATTTTGCTCCCTTATAAACTATCGGTAAACATAGAGATAGAAATAGAGAGGAATGTTAAACCGGAATTCGAATATATATAGCCAAACAGCTTTAAGAATTTCTTCTACTCTGCCTTGAACACACATTTCTTGATCGCTTTTGTACTTAGTTTAGCTCTGGAAACTTTGGCTATTTAAAATTCATAAAATCATGAAAGTACACTCAGCTTACGCTGTTACACAACACTGTTTTCTGGTCACAAACTTTGTGACACTTTTGAGTTAAAGTTCGTATACTCTTAGATGCACTCTGGGCGTCTCTTTGAAGCCGCAGTCTGTGTGGCCCTCACATAGAGTGTATTTATATAAATACCGCAAAATGTGGCAAATGGGCTAAGAACTATTTGGCTTCCTCCATGCCAGCGAGCGGCAGCCGGCACCCTGCCGGACTGGGGCACGTTCGCTGTGAGCTGCTGCTGCTGCTGCTGCTGTTATAGGCCGCACTCTGTCAGCTGTCCCAATTGTGGTCAATTGTTGAAGCAGCTTTTCATGCTTGATTTGAGTTGCATAACGAGGGGCAGCGACAAAGGGGCAAAGGTACAGAATGTGTGTCAAGCGGGGCAGAGACTGAGAGAGACCACTGGAAGTGTAGCTGTTGAATGTTGCACAGCCTGAAGGCGATGAAAAACCACAACGGAAACGTTGCCGCATTTTAAATGGCGCCAGAGAAATGAGCATATTTAAAGTAAATGAAAATTCAAGCTGAGAATTTTCACAAACGCGTAAAAACAAAAACTGAACAAAGCCCCCGAAACGCTGTCAGCTTCGCAGTCAACGTCGCCTGCCAACATAAAAAATGATTTTTTGTCGTTTTTTTTTTTTTTTTGCTTTTGTTTATTTATATTATTATTTTTACATATTTTTAGGCCTGTGCGAAGTAGAAACAGGTTTTTAGCAGAGCGGGGAAACAGCGGCAACTGCTGTACGTTTCAATGGATGCAGCAGCGGGTTTTTGGCCGTGTGGCACACACTGGCTACAGATTTGGCTTCTAAATAAGTGACAAGGGCGGCAACAACAACAACAACAACAGAAAACATCAACCAACAACAACCATTTTTTTTTTAATATTTTATGCGAACGCGTGGAAAACGAGTTTTCGCGAAAGTTGTTGTGGGTTCCATTGTTGGCGCTTGTTGTTGTGGTTGTCGTGGTTGTCGTGGTTGTTGTTGTTGTTGCTGTTGTTGTTGTTGCTGTTGTTGCTGTTGTTGTTGTTGCTGCTGTTATTGCTGTTGTTGTTGTGGCTCCACTGTGCTGTTATTCTCCCGCCTGAATACCTCCAGACCCATAACACATACAGCTGACAACAAAAACTACTATTTTTGTTTATATAAATTCTACAACAAGTAATTTATAAGCACAACATAAATATGGGCAGGCGCTTAGCCAAAAAGAATTGTATTCGAAAAAAACAAATATAATCCCCAAACTAAATTTTAGAAGATGCTAAACAAAAGACTCAACTACGTCTTTGACATCGCATCGCATTTGGCTTCAAGTTTTAGCTGAGCTTTTAATTTATTCACAATTTATATTAATTATTATTAATTAATTTAAAATTTCAAAAAAAGCCAAAGCAACTTAATTTGAGACTAAGATAAATTGTTAAGAAAAACAACTTAAGTTTGGCCAAAAATTCAAAAACAAAATTCAATTTTTTTTTGCTTTGATTTCGTTTGGTAAAAAAAAAGTCATTAAGCCCAAAAAACGGTTCGACTTTGACAAGGCTGGGAAAATTCGCAGTACAAGGTAGAATGTTGAGGAAGTAGCTTTATATAATACGCTCTATTTCGATTTGCATAAGCATAAGTAATATAGATCTCATATCTCATATTATGATCAAAAGGCCAGCAACTATTCAAAGCGTCTAAATTTTGCCAAAGTTTTGGTAGCTTTGGTTACTCACGGCCTTATCAGAGCTACCCCTTCCCCTTGCGACAATCAATTATATCGCAATTCTATTTATGCACATACATATCGCACATATCGCACATGTTGTACATATCGTATATGGCTTATGTAAATTGTCAATTGTCGTGCTCCACTTAAAGCTCAGTCAAATGCACAGGTATGCGTGTGTACGTATGTGTGTGTGTGTGTGTATGTAGATATACGCTCGGGCAGCGCTGATAACTAAGCCACACAAATTGACAGCAACAATCGCAGCAACGAATTTATATTTACACAACGTGACACACAGAGCACAGCAATTATTTAACAAAATATAAGAAAAATAACCAAAATAATAACAAGATTGTCAGTTTTTCAGGCCAAGAAAAAAGTCAACGTGTCAGAAGTCAAACAAAAATGCAAAAATAAAAAAAAATTTTAAATTTTAACAAAATAAGCAAAAGTGAAAAACCCAAAAACCTAATTAAGGCCAAAGGAAAAACCCCAGCCAAAAATTTAAATGTCAGCCAAAGAAAGCAAGTGGCAAGAAATCCCACAAAAATGGATAAAAATAAAAAAAAAAAACATTTGGTCTATAAATTGCTGCAAATTGTGCGATTTTTTGCAGAGCTTTCAAAAGCCAAACACAAAAATTGTTTGGCTCGAAGGTCGCAGGCGATGCCAATTGACGCCCAAACAACAACAAAATACAGCGAAAAGTGTAACGACAACAACAACAACAACAACAACAAAGACACGAATTACTAAAAACAACAACAACAAGGCGATTACTGAACTAATTTGCCGTGTCCGTCCGCCTGTCTGTCGATTTTGATTGCAATATGAAACCTGAAATTAATTGTAATTACTCGCTGGCAAACAAAAAAAAAAAAGCCAAAAAAATGAGATAAAAACGCGAACCGTGTGTGGGCTCCCAATCGGCGCAGGGGCAATTGCTTTGCGCAGGCAGGCAGCGGGGGGGTTGGGGCCAGGGGTACGGTGTGTCATAGAGGGGGGGGGCAGCCCAATTCACGCCTGGCCTGGCACGTATTTTGACAACGGCATTTCGGAAATGGAAAATGCTCAATGGAAAATGAAAATTGATGCTACTTGAGCCTGTTTTATATACCCTGCAGCCATTAAAAATGAAGAGTGTGAAAAAAGGGTATTATGATTTGGCGTGAATCTATGTAACAGGCAACAGTTGATATTTTCGATCACATAAAGTACAAGCTAGGTCGATCTAGGTTTGTCTGTCTTCTTCGGAAACTAAAAGAACCAAAGATCGGAAATAGTTTCGTATGGAAAGAACATAAATTTGGCCATGAAAATAAGTCTAACCAATTATATGCGATATTTCCCAATGGAAAATATCGATATATATCGATTTTGAGACATAATCTTTAAAGCAGAAACTAACAAAACCAGGGCCTGAAATTA